TGTCAGACTTACAACTTCTATTAGAAGTGGCCGAGGGTTTTAATTGGGTTTAGGGGTTATGTCAATTTCTACCTAAAACTTTATTATTTGGTCATGGTATTTGCAGCAGTTCATGCAGCAGTAGCAAAATTTATTATTTTTTAGCATTGATTTAATTCATTTATGATGCACTGATTCTTATTTATTTATTTGCAGGTACATGGTATTTGCAGCAGTTCATAAAACTCACAGATAGTCGTAGAAGCAACTATAGAGTGTTGAGAGTTTCATTAGGTGTTGTATAGAGTTATGTACATGAATTTGTAGAATTTTGTTTGAGTTGTTATCGAGATTTTAGTTAAGCTGTTATTTGAATTGAATTGTTTTGTTTGAAGCTTTGTTTATGTTGATTTGGGGAGTTAGTTATTTGTGTTGATTAATGGAACTTCCACTCTCCCTCCTTTTTATTGCATTTTATTTTATAATTGCTCAAATTTGGTCATTAAATCTCAATGCCCTTGAATTTTAACTAACTCATGAATTTAAACCATTCTGGCCGGACCTAAAGTCGACCACACGAGATCTTCATTTTAAAACCATCTCAACCGGATTTAAAGTCGACGGCCTGGGGTCTTCGCATCAGCAAATACATGGTGTTTTATAATTTCAAAAATAAAAACAAAAAAAGGCTTTTCATATAATTTATTTAATTCTTTTAAATCAATATTATTAACTGAAGCCTTAATCATTAAAATCTATATTGTTAAATATGATAATCTTTTGTTTGTCCCTTAACAAGTAATTCAACTAAGCTTTTCTTAAGCTTAGAACAAGATCAATATATTATCTTCAAGATCAATATATTGTCTTGGGCATTTCAGGTTTGAAAAATTGGAACAATATATAGATTCTTCATAATGGCAAACAACTTATTTTAATATTTCTATGCAATCAGAGATTTGTTAGATTGAGAGAAGGGACAAAATCATCTTTATATTTAGTTCTGAATTCTCTCTATATATATTTTATATTTATGCGTGGAGAATTGCAGCAAACAAAGTGTACACTTTGCTTAGGAATTTCACTGCCTAGAAATGAAATGATTAAAAAAAATCTTCTTAAAATAATTAGAGAAAGATTGCTCCATAACACTACTATTTTCTGCCATAAAACATTTAACTTCTTGCTTATGTTTAAAGAATTTTAAATTTCAGATTTATCATAAATTGTTCATTAAAAAATTTTTTAATTGATTAGATCAAATAATGAATTAATTATTTTAATTAGTGAAGTTATGACATTGTTCTCAAATAGCGACAAAGGAAGTTCGGCAATATTCTAGAAAATTTTTGGCAGCCTTCCGACGTCCCCTCCCCACCGAGGGAAATCGGGGCGGCATTTGCCGTAATTTCTTCCTGCCCGGATCGAAGATCGACGGCGCGAGGTCTTTGAAATTTAAACCATCATACCCGGATCAAAGATCTACGGCATATGGTCTTCAAAATTTATAACCATCATACCCGGATCAAAGATCAACAGCGTATGGTCTTCAATTTAAAAATTCATCTCGCCCAGATCAAAGATCAATGGCACGAGGTCTTCAAATTCAACATACATCTGTCATTTTGTAATTGACTAAAAGGATTTATATTTTATTGCATATAAATTTATTTGATTGTATAAATCAAATTTATAATTAGAGAGGTACAGCAATAACAGATAAAAATTTGATTTTATTATCTTAAGAAATTAAGAGTAATGCCTTGTCTCTTGCATAATCCTATATAATAGAAATAAGAGTAAAAAGATAGGTTTATTGTGAAGCAAAAGGCTTACGGATATCAATATAATAGAAAGTTTTATTATGAAATAAAACAGGTAGTTTCATAAAGAAACGGGAGGACGGTGGAGGTTTCAAGGCAAAAAAAAATTACTTAAATAGGATTTAGGGAAGTTCACGTGAAGAACAACAGAACTTTGACGTCAGACTTCAGTGGAGGTTGTCGGAATTTGTCGGAAGCAAGAGGCCGGAAGTCAATCCGGCTTGTGGAGGCGAAGACTGTTTTAGTGTGCGGAGGCGGAGAGGGATCGCTCGACTTTGGATGCGTGGTAGGTAGTTAGAGAAGGAGAACAAACTTTTTTTTTTCGTTCGTTTCTTTCTCCTTTTATTAATCTCATCGTCCAACATATGCGTTGTTTTGCGAAGAGACGCGATGGCCGCCTATTTTTACAAGTTCAATTTTTTTTTTTTTAATCTTGATTTTAATAACATCATAAATTCATCGAGGCACGCCAACAAATGTATTGTTACCATCGGACATGTAAGATATCCAATATTCAAATTGAGTTCACTTTTGACTGTAAAACCATTTAGCAGATTTTTTTTTTATAAATGATTTTCAAGAGAACTTCCAAATTCATTATGGATGGAGTAGGGATTTGCATTTAGTCTTGCTATTATTTATTCAGATATATTTTATTTATTGCTGCAGGCTTGGTATTTTGTCATGAGCTCATTGAACTCTCTTTTTTTTAACTCAATATATTTCTATCACTTTTATAGGGAATGTTTCTATTTTAATATATGTAATCCCGTTCTTGCACCATGTCAGATGTTTAACTATCATATTTGTTCTATAAACCAAACGAGCTTTATTATCAATTTAATGTTTCGTTACTTTGATTCTCCAAGAGCTTGTCTTTTAATTTTATGACTAACCTCATATTGTTGATTTAAACAAATAGGAAGACATTTTGAGCAAGGTTCCGATTTCATTGCATCATCATTTTTTTTAATCATATACATTTCAAGCTTCGAAATTTGCTCCAAAAGATACTAAATCTCATAGCTCCTTTTTTTTTTTTTCTTCTTTTTTTATTAGTCAACATACATGAATAATAAAGTAACCAAGGAATGAGCCTCCCTTGTCTAATCAACTCCTATAACTAGCTTAATTGCGTAAACCTCTGAACTTTTCCCCGACCGTCCATCTATGCACAGGAAACTAGCCTCAGATAGAGCATATCGTCTTTGGACACTCATTTTTACAAGGTAGTTACTAAACATATTGTATCACTATAGGAGACTAGCCTGAGATAGAGCATATCGTCTTTGGACGCTCATTTTTACAAGGTAGTTACTAAACATATTGTACCACTATAGTTTAATAATCACTGTTTAGCATTAGAATTATAACAAAAAACTTTAACAACAACAACAACAAGCCTTTATCTCACTATGTGCGATCGGCTACATGAATCCTTTTTCTCCATCGTATCCTGTTAAGAGTCAAATTCTCATCTAATTCTAATAAAAAAATGTCATTTCTAATATTTTCTAACAAAGTTTTGTTAGGTCTACCTCCATCTTTCTTAAAATAAGTCAAATTAAATACATCTACTTTCCTAACCAAACCATCTAAGCAAGGCGTCGTTTTATGTGACCAAACCATCTAAGCAAGTCTCTCTAATCTTATCTTTCACTGGAGCTAATCCAACCTTTTCATGTATATGCTTATTTTACATCTTGTCTTTAAGAGTAAAGCACTCAGCCACCTGAGCATCCTCATCTCTACAACACTTACATTAATATTATGTTTCTTTTTTAATAGCCAACATTATGCACCATAAAGCATTCCAGGTTAAACCAACATCTTATAGAATTTTCCATTAAGTTTGAGGGGGACAACTCTATCACACAACAAGCCCGATGCATTCGGTCACTTCAACCATTCAACTTGAATTATACTAATAATATCTCCATCTATTTCACCATCACTCTGAACTGAACAATAGACCCAAGATATCTAAAATGTGTACTCTTATTAATGACTTGATCACCCAAAGTCACAATCACCCACTAGAACAATTATTATTAAAATTACACTCCATATATTCAGTTTTAGATCTACTCAAACAAAAGCCTTTAGAATCTAAGGTTGACCTCCATAATTCATGTTTACCTTCAACTCCCTCTCTAGTCTTATCAACAAGAAGAATATCATTAGCAAAAAGCATACACCAGGATACAACCTCTTGCAAATGTCTAGTGAGAACATCCATGACTAAAGCAAAAAAGATATGGAAAACACTTAGTCAAACCACCTTGTGTTTGAACACAAGTAACAGCTCATGCATACATACCCTTAATGACTTAAATATAAGCATTATTAACCCTTTCTTTACTAGAACTCTCCATGGCACTTCTCTTTAAACTTTATCATATGTTTTCTCTAAATCAATAAATATCATACGTAGATCCTCCTTATTCTCTTTATACTTCTCCGTCAAACCTCTCAATAAATGTATAGCTTCCATTGTAGACCTACCCGGCATGAATCTAAATTGATTTTGAGCAACGTCAGTTTCACACCGCAACCTATGCTCCATAACTTAATTATTCTATAATTTGCAAAATATTGTGCATCACCTTTATTCTTAAAAATAGGAATCAACACACTTATTCTCCATTCATCTGGTATCTTTTTAGTCTTCAAAATAATATTAAAAATTTTAGTGAGCCAAAAAATTCTTTCATCTCTCAAGCATTTCCACACCTCTATTGGAACATTATCAGGTACAACAATTATAACAAAAAACTCATTTAGATAATTTTTAATCATAGACCTTAGAAATAATGCATAAAGATCAATTTTTGGCCCATTCAATTTAGAGAAAGAAGAGGTTCCGGCAAGCACAAGGACTGCCTAATCTGCAGACGGTTATAAGAAAAACTAATTGGTGAAATATAATAATTCAGTAAACAAATGAAATATTATTCATCTGTACCAAGCCTCAACATGCTCTACTTATTTAAAACATTCCTCTTAATAATTAACAATTAAAAGTGACCCACCACGTGGATTTGTTAAGAAATGAACAGACTAAAATTCAAAATAAGTAGGAGCATTATACATTATGCAGTAACTAATGCAGAAGAATCAGGTTTCATGCTTAATCATGTTATAGTAAAAAGGATATATGTTCAAGAGAATTAAAATAACAAATTCACGGAGTACTACCTCATCAGGCAACACGCCATTCTTTTTCATATCCTCGTATATGCTAAGGGCAAATTCCAAATCACCATTCTGACTGCAGCTATTGACAGCAATTGTGTAAACATCAGGAGTGCCTTTTATGTTATATAGACGAAGCATTTTGTACACTTCGCGTGCCCTTTTGGCCTGAAGGATCATAGGTCAGCAGTATCAATGCTGACAAAAGTCAGATATTGGAAAATAGAATAAAGCCAAGACTAGACATTATTAAAAAGCCTAAAATAGTGTGTATAACCTGCCACTTTCAAATAAGAATAATACCTGACCAGCTTGAATACAAGTTTTCACCAGGGCACCAATAGTGACATGATCAGGGTCTATTGGTTTAGGTTCTGCTCTCATCTCAGCTAAGACATCAAAAGCACGATCAAGTGCTCCTGAACGACCGCATGCTGTGATTAGTGCATTGAATACAACTCGATCTGGTTGCACATTCTACTGCAGATAAGACTTTGTTAAGCTGGAAGCTATTACAACACCTCAAGTCAGTCAAATGCAACTGAGGAGTTATAAAATGCATGGGCTCAAAAATTTATGAGATATCAGTATCAGACCTTGGATCTCATAATTCCATAAGCACCAAATGCTTTGGCAACTTGCCCAGCTCTGGCACAGCCATCGATCAGTGCACCATAAGTATTGACATTCGGCTCAACTCCAGCATTAACCATTTCGTGAAAGACCTTTAAGAAGAAAATTTAAGATTTTGATGAAAATGACAGATAAAGGAATTGCAGGAATAAACAGTGCAAAACTTAATAAATATCAGTTGGCGTCCATTCTTCATAAATTAAAATTGACGCTACCGGATGACGAATCTAGCAGTAATAAAGGTGCCCAAAGCTTCAAAATGTAACTCTCAAAACCAAATTAAACTAGTTAAAGTTAATGATACATATAGTTGAGGTATGAGAAAAAAAAACTAAAGCAGCAGAAAAAGGGCTCATAAAAGATCATAGATAAACCAGTAAAACAGGTAATAAACTTCTTTAACCATCTTCAAAATAAAATGCTAGTTATTTAGAAAGACTCAAATTTAAAATGCAACTGCACCAAAGCTAGGAATTGACATAAATTAGCATACAGACATGTAGGCCCAAGACATAAATCTCCAAGTTTAGTACAGGAGGCTAAATCATATCACATGCCAACCACATTTCAGAGGCCTAGAAGCTGAATTTCATAGGCATAGTCCGCTAATCTTAGGCAAATTGAATGCCTTGTGTAAATTCATAACATGTGCCAGATTCCCATGAAGGATATCTATACTACTATTATAAAAGTGGCATCAGTTTCTTCCCAAACAAAATCCTGACCTTTCATTTAACTCTTATTACTTTAAATCTCAACCATTCAAATTTATCCATTTCAATTTAATTAGATTTTACATAAAAATATTTAAATAATAATGTAATAATTAATTAATTAATTACTATAAATTTTTTATTTTCAAAATGTCAGTTATGAAATTTATAGAAGTTTAATAGTCATTAAAGAATAAATGTCAATTAATAAATTATAATGCTAGCTTCACAACAATTATCAAGATTTTGAAGTTTGTATTCATTAATTATACTTGTTGCGCATCAATTATCAAGATTAATTATAATTATTAAAATGTTTAATTATTTTATAATTTGAATTATGAAAATTACTTTCAGTATTGATTTTTTAAATTCCGTTGTAGATAAATTATATAATTTTAAATTTTAAAAATATTTAATGTGATTTATTAATTAATTATAATACAGTAATTAACTATCTAATTAATTTAGATTTTTTATTTTTGACCTTTTGGTTTTGAAAGCTAGAGCATTTATAATTATTAAGGAATAAATATTAATTGATGAAATGTATTATTAATTATTTGATGGAAATTTAGTATTTTAATTTTTTAAGCTTTTAAATTTTAATATGAACTACTCTTTTTATTTCTATCATTCTGCTATACCTATTAAATTGGCTCTTTGTTTATATCAACTTCAATAATCCATTAGTCACCAAAATTAAATATTAAAAATCCTATAAATTGATATTTCTCACTTGAAACTTTTAACAACGCTTCAATTCTTTAAATATTTATTATTCTGCAACACCAACTAAATTATTCATTTTTTAATTTTTTATCAATTTCAATGATCCATTCATGTTCAAATCTAATAAAAGAATGATATTAAAGTTAATTGTAACTGTCCAATAAATTCAAATATCTCCCTTGAAATTCTAAATTGTAACTTTCAAATATGAGAAAAGTAATATTCTATTAAATTAGCCCTTTTTAATTATCAAAATTTAATCAAAAATCGTCCAGCACATTAAATTTTGATTTCTCCCTTGAAATCTCTAACAAATGTCCAATGTGGCCGCCCCATCTCTCGTTCATCTCATTCATCTCCGACATCTCCGACAGTATCTCCTCGAATTCTTTTCAATTTCTCTCTTCAAATTCTAAATTGCTCTTAAACTTTCAAATTGAATTGAGTATGAGGTCACTTTTTTAAGTTTGTATTTGAATTTATAATATTCAAGAGCTCTCGCTCATTCTCCGTTTCGACTACCCTTGCAAAATCATCTTCTCCTTAACACGAATTTGGTTACATCAAAGTTTTCTCCCAACAAGCTCCCATTTCGACATTATCATATACTCTTGGTTGTTAGAGTTTCATAAATTTTATAAGGAACAGAAAAATTTTATGTTATTCTTTAGTTGAAGATAAGTGTCACTTCAACTAAAATAAACTTGAATTTTTTTTTAAGTAATTTTTTCATACCATTGTTACAAAATTTTTCCGTTTTATCAGATTGACTTTGATTCCTTTTCAATTTTATTTCTTTTTTCTTTTTTTTTAACTTATATGTGTTTTTACATCTGCATTTTCTATTCTATCTTACTAAAATATTTATTAATTAGTCAATCGCATTACTTTATGTTATGCATTAATCTCATTGCTTATACAACAACAATATGAACATCAAGCATTTATCTCACTACAGGTGGTTGGCCTTTTTCTTCATTATGTCCTGTTAAGAGCCAAATTCTCATTTAAATATAATAAAGAAATGTCATTTCTAAAACTGTTAACATAATATTGATTTAAAATTTGCCTCCTTATAGTGCTGGCAAACGTTTTTTAGTTATCTTAAATATTATTGTTCAATAATAGATATTAGTTAATAGGACATTCTTACTAAATATTTTTTATTTCTATTTATATAAGAAATACATTTCTTATTTCAAAATTTGTTGGTATTTCAAACTTATTTTGTTGATTCTAATCAATTGCTTTAGATAAATATCTTATCACTGTCTGTATTGTGGATATCATCACCTTGATTGCTGATGTGGGTGCTATAGTCATGATCGCCATTCCTTCAACTATTCCCGAACAAATTATTCTACTGGTTGTTGTTGATGTTACCTTCTTCCTGCATCAACTCATTTTGATTTTTCTTGATTATATTTATTAAGATGTAAAATTATTTTATAGAAGCATTACGCAATACAATTATAATTCATTATATTTTTGGTTTGGCTCCTAGCGCTATCATTGCTTCACACTCTTTGAATTTGACAATTTTAATGAGTTTGAGGTTTAGATTCGATCATATTTATTTAAAATTTATTAATTAAAAACATTATTTTAAGTTGATGATTTTGACAATTTTTGAAAGCCAATATTATATTTTTATTGATAACTAATAATTTGTAGGTTTAGTTTTAGTGATTTCAATTGATATTTGATGAATTCATTTGGCTTGATGATTTTGAAGTGATTCAAACCTAATTTGATGGTCTAAAACTGAAATTCAAAAAAAATTTGGGATTGTTGTAATAAATTTTGACTAAACGTAATTATTTTCAACAATATATAAATAATTTTAAAAGCATAAAATCACTATATAAATTTTACTCCTATTCAAACTTTATTTATTTTTATCATGTAATTTACTTTTAGTTCCACTTTAATATTATTTTAAATTTAGACATATAATGTTTATAGTTTAGAGGTAAGTAGTCCTCACAATCGTATGACATATTTTATAAATTATGCTCAAAGACTTTCCATCCTCTTATGAAATATCAAACTTTTTTGTTTCATAATTTCTTTAGATCTATTGGATCTAATAGTTTAAAATAATGCTTGATTGTTGAAAATTAAGTATCAGCATATTTTGATAGAGCCCAACAAAATAATAATTTATGCTTAAACTCCCTCATATAAGATTCTTAGAAACATTTTTAGTGTTGAAGTCTTGATTTTTTTTATTTATATTATATTTTATATTTATATTTTTCCATATTACTTCAATAACATTCTAACCTTTAATGATAAAAATTTAAATATTTATATTAAAATTTTAGGTATGTAATAGATAGGTCTTCTTTAAATTTAGTTCAAATAACAATTAACTACATATTTTTATATAATAATATTATTAATTTTTTTATTTTAATGATATTCTTATTTATTTTTAAGACCCAATAGCGTGCACTAAGTGCACGTGCAATTAAACTAGTTGGAGAAAAATAACCTCATTCTTTCAAGTAAACCTTAAGAATAGGAAATTTTAATCCATTAATTCGTGTACATTGCATGTAAATCTTATCAAGTAAATGTTAGACCGGTCCATTGGACCGATCCAGCCGGTCCACACGAGACCAGCCCAGGCGAACAGAGGTGGAAGTTCCACCTTTCCCGCGAAGGCCGAGCGGACTACAAATCCCCACATAATTTATTAAGAAGGATTTTTTAGAAAGTTTAGGAGGGAATTTGAATGCATGGACTGTTTAGAGATTTCCTTTTGACTTGTATGCATTAAGTAGTTTGTTTTCCTAGGGTTAGGGCATCTTGAATTTGGCTGAATTTGGGATCGTTTAGGTTTAGGTTTCCTTTGGGTGTCTAGAGAATTTGGGAGAGATCGATCCTCCTCTTGAATTGAATATCAACTGTATCTTGCTATTTTCTTTTGTATCTTTGATAATTGCAATAAAAATTATTTTTTTTCTGATTTTCATTGGAGTTTGGAAGCGTTTTCTTGCTGTTTTCTGAAGATTGTTAGGAATTACTTGAGATCTTCAAGTGTTCCTTACCAAATTGGTATCAGAGCTGTCTTTGGGACCTTTTAATAGCTGTTTTGGTGAATTTCAGTAGTTATTCTTGGGATTTCGAAGAAGAAAATTGCTATTATTGAAGGTCGAAGTCCGGATTTTTATTTCTACAAAAATTCGGGCATCAATGACGGCCAAGAAAATGGATGTGTTGGAGGAACGCCTCGAAGTGGAGATTGGACAAATGAAATCTTAAATTTCAAATCTCCAAACTCAAGTTTCATATTTAATAAAGATGTTTTAGCCATCCATTATAAGTTTGATTCAAATTTTTCAATCTTGGAGGAGGCATTGAAGAAAGTGCTCGAGGGTCAAACCAAAATATCGCCGTCGGAGGCGAGGGAAGGCGTTGATAGCCATGGAGATGGGAAAAACCCTAAGCCAATCAGGCAAAGGGGAGATCAGGAGGTGGAGACTCGAATGGGAGAAGAGAAAATACCTCTCATAAAGTCTATTTCTAAGGAGCAGCCGGGCAAAGGGTATGATGAGAGGCGTGAGGAGTTAGGGCAAGATCGAAGATGTACTGACTTGGAGAGGAGAGGGCCGATATTGGAAAGGGAAAAGGGTAATTATGATCAAGGGGGGCTGGATTTGAAAGGGGAAGAGTATGTTATGATCCAAGGGGTACTGAATTTGAGAGAAGAATGTTGGAATTTGATGAAAGGCTGGGGTATGAACGTAAAAGGGATGATTGGGATACTTGGGGGGAAACCACCCCCTTGGGGAATGGGAAATTATGGAGGGAACAGAGGGAACGGAGGCGATTCGAGGGTGAGGAAATTGAAGATGTCAATCTTTGAGGGGGAGATGCGCACGGGTGGATCTTCAAGGTTGAAAGATATTTCGTCGTCAATGGGTTGACAGCTATGTTGCACTGATACACTTATTTATGAAGGCATGGTGTATCTGATACACCTATACACGGATACACCTCCGACACGGCACTGATACATGTCGGATAAGCCTTTGTCATATCCAATTAAAATACTATTTAATTTCAAAAGGACATGCGTATCGGATACGAGTGTCCATTGAAAAACAAAAAAAAAAAGAAAAAAAAAAGACCCGTCGTATTTACTTCCGTGGATACGAGCGAGATTCTCTCATTTCCAAGATGGATTTGAGTCTCTTAATGATATGGGAATATTAGAAATTGCTAATCTTTCACTTGATGAGCCTGAATTATAAGTTATGATATTTATTAAATATGATATAGAAGTTCAAAGACATACCACTGAAGAAGCTAATCATATCATTCCTTCTATTGAATAGTTAAAACTTCATGTGCTAGACAATTTATGTTTATGTTTATGTTGTTGTACTAGACATTTAATGCTTACTTTTATTTTGATATTATAAACTAAAAAGCTACAAATGATGTTACTTTCATTTTTTGTAATGTCACATATTATGCTTTGATTGTTTTCTTAATTTTTATATATGATTTATAAATTCTAATGTCGTGTCCGCGTCGTACCTGTATCCTATATTTTTAAGAATTGGCGTGTCTCGTATCCATATTGTGTCGTATCCGTATCGCCGTATTCGTGTATCAGTGCAACATAGGTTGACAGAGAAGGAGAAACTGATGGTAGGAGACCTATGTTTGGAAGGGAAAGCTTTGGCTTGGTACCAATGGAGGGACATGCGACGATCCATATTGAGTTGGAGGGAGTTCAATAATTGTTTGATAGAACATTTCCGAACCGGCAGGGGATAAGACTTCTACGAGCACTTCTTTGACTTGACGCGAGATGGTTCAATAATGAGTACCGGGAGAGGTTCGAGTACCTTGCTAACTGATTGAACCGCCTTTTTGAGAAAGTGCTAGAGGGGAACTTCATGAAGGGATTGACACCAGAGATCTAGGCAACGGTTAGAATAATGAGGCCTCGTGACTTGGGAGAGGCTATAGAGCTGGCTCAATTGGTAGAAGATTAGAGGCACCTCGAGAGAGAGATAGGAGGCAGCAGCTCAGGAGGCCCGTACACGAAGACCACCACCTTATTGAAATCCAAGGAGCCAACACCGGATACTCTTCGAGGGACTTCGAAGGAAAAGACTGCAAGAGGAAGACCTTGGGACAACTTCAAGAAGCTCACAGATACGGAATTACATGAGAAGATGGTGAAGGGGCTCTGTTTCAGATATGACGAGAGGTATACGCCTGGTCATAGGTGTAAGGACCGAACTTTTTAGGTTCTTACCATTTGTGATGAAAAAGGAATGGAGGAGGGTATCGTCTTTCTACCTTACGAACAAGATGGATCTTTGAGAGGGAAGTATTGTTAGACCGGTCCAGCCGGTCCACATGGGACCGGACCAGGCAAACAGAGGCAAAAGTTCCACCTCTCCAGCGAAGGCCGAGCGGACCGCAAATCTCCACATAACTTTTTAGGAAGGATTTTTGAGAAAGTTTAGGAGGAAAATTAAATGTAGGGACTGTTTAGAGATTTCCTTTAATTTGAATTGTATGCATTAAGTAGTTTGTTTTCCTAGGTTTAGGGCATATTGAATTTGGTTGAATTTGGGATCTATTAGATTTAGGTTTCCTTTGGGCTCTAGCGGCGTCTAGAGAATTTGGGAGAGATTGATTCTCCTCTCGAATTGAGGATCAACTGTACCTTGCCATTTTCTTCCATATCTTTGATTATTGCAATGAAAATTATTGTTTTTTCTGGTTTTCATTGGAGTTTGGAAGCATTTTCTCGCTGTTTTCCGAAGATTGTTAGGAATTACTTGAGATCTTCAAGTGTTTCATATCAGTTAACAGCCTGATTCAGGCTACAACTAAATGTCAAACGGGAGAACAGCATATCCTTATTACAAATATGGATGTACATAGCAAGAAGTGCAAATGGGCATCTTAATAACTATAAATGGTACTGTTTCTCTAAACAATATATTGCTACCATAGTTGTAGAAATGAGTAGGTTAACATACTTCAAACATGGCGTCAACCTTTCCACATTTCCCACATGATGATATCAGAGTGGTGTAAAGTTTACAATCAGGTTTCAGCTTAGCCTCCTTAATTAGCAGCATCACTTCAAAAGCTCCTGAAAAAAAAATGCAGAGATCAAGGATTTAAAAATTCAAAATGGCTGTAAATTAAGATTACTCAAGTCTGCTAAGGTGCAGATAAATGAATTACCATCAAAATCCTGTGAGTTTGCACAGACAGATAAAAGCATGTTAAATGTGCTCAGCGTCGGCTTGTTGATAAGTTTACAAAAGCGAAAAGCCTCTTTGACTTTCTTTTGGGTCTTACAAGCATATAGAAACCGTGTGTGATGGACCTAAGCAACAAGAAGAGACAAATAAAGGGTTCATTTGGCTGTTTGTAAATGGAAAATATATTTTAGAAAAATGATGATTTCATTCTCACTTATTTTGAGTGTGAAATGAAACCATCAAATTTTGAAGGTGATTTGGAGTTTAAAACCAATATTGATTTCTAACTGCAAGCATTCAGATGACTTAATCTGCTCAATTCTTTCATTTTTCAAAACATATTGTAGAAATCCTAGCCATCCCTTGATGCTTGAATTCACGGCCAAGATGGGAATCTGTGGGAGGCTTACCTAGATCATGCCGATCTTAAATCCAAGCCGTCCCTTGACACTTGATCCGACAGCCAGGATGGGAATCCATGGGAGGCTCACCTAGATCACGCCGATCTCCTTCTATATTTGGATGGCTGATTTAAGAATGATTATATTAAGACAATTATGCATGATTATGTAGTTATTTGTTTCTTTATTAAGACATCTTATATAGATCTATAAATATGGATAACTTTTTATGATAAAATTAAGTCTTTCCCACTTAAATTTTTTGAATTTAACATCGTACCAGAGCCTTCATTGCCTTGGCCGGAATTCTGAGTTTTTTTACTGTTGGACTTTCATAAGGGAAGGCCCGGTCTTTCCTTCATAAATGAAAGGGAGTGTATTCTGATTTGTTCGTTCATGCATATGTCCAATCGAGAGTGGGAGAGTGCCTCATCCTGCGGTTTCTTCGTTTGATCGAGAGAGATGAACATCTAGTACATCTCGTTTGGAGGAGTCGAGCAAGAACCCCGCCGTCTCTGCGTTCGATCTAGAGATACGAACGTCTCGTAAACCCCTCTCCCATGTATGCAACCGAATGGGACAGGAGAGGCATGCGGCCAGAAGATTCTGCATGTGTGCCTAAGTGCTGATTGAGCGGGATTGCATTTAATCCTGAGTGTGATCAAGGGTGAGCCGGTTCTTGCATTCTGCTTCCTACTCGTGGGCATCCAAAGCAGCCAAGCAAATGAGCTGCATGCAGCTAGCGAAGGCACACAAGACCCCTCACGTGCGTGCCTACTTGGGGGCCGAACTGAATGAAAAAAAAAAAGGATCAAGAGATGGAGTAAGCAGGAACTGCGTACGTGTGTGCCTAAGAAGGGACAACCGACCCTCGTGCGTGTGCTGAAGTCAAACCAAGCAAGGAACAAATGGTTGAAGAGTTATTGTACATGCCATCAAATCCTCCACTCGAAGAGCCCCTCCTTGCCCCAAATCACAACCACTTCTGCATATTCCCGATCCGCTACCCTTGAATATGGGAGATGTACAAGACGGCCGAAGCATCCTTCTAAATAGCAAAAGAAGTCAACCTCTCTCAAGATCTCCACCACCGGGACCAATCCCTCAAATCGAATGAACGCCACTTTGTAACCTACGTTCTCACCTTCTTCACTATCGCTAACAGAATCATTATTGAGAATCTTGTCGGTCGAGTTTGAACTAAAGTCAGTTTGTTGAATTCGAAGTTCGCTGATGGAATGGTCCTGATATGTGGAGTTGACCAGGTGATGCGCGTGGTGGGGAAGAAGATGACTTTCTTTGTGGTAAGGTAGTTCACTGTTATAGTCTAGTGCATGCTTAAGGTGACTGAAGAGTTAGTGAGCATGCATATGGTGAAGTACACTACTTCCCTAAAAAGAGAGTCGGTCGTCGATATCAAGGGTGAGGCTAACGAGATATTAGAAGCACTTTATCTAACCCTGAAGGAGTTGGCGCTTGCTGGCTCTCCAAGTTCTCACCACAAGCCTTGATTGCAAGAATTCTGAGGAATATGAGTTCCCACCACCGGCCTTCATTGTCGGAATTCTAAGGAATCTAGATTCCCACAATCGGTCTTCATTGTTGGAATTCTGAGGAATACTGGTCTTTCCACCAGCCTTCATTGTCGTAATTTTGAGGAATATGGGTTCCCACTACTGGCCTTCATTGTCGGAATTTTGAGGAATATCGGTTCCCACCACTTGTCTAGATTGTCGAAAGTTTGAGGACATTCGTGCATCCAAGGCCGAGGAGAGATCGAGCGGGAAGGTTCCTCTTGCGTGCGATGTCCAGAGTTGACCTAGCAGAAGCGAGCACAGGACCTCCTCCTGTGTGTGTTTGGAAAGAGCCAAGAGTTTCCTCTCATGCGGGAGCAAGGGTGCAAGACGTGCACTCTCTCTTACGATTAGACCAGAGGGATCAAAGGCTTTGTGTGCACCTGTACTGGCCTATCGAACAGGAGTTTATTCAAGTGGAGTTGGATGACCTGGGAAGGAGGAGATCTACGTGTTGAGTGTTGAGTCGCTAGAGACGTGTGTTTCTGCTCCTGTCCTTGAAGCTTGCCGCAACCCTAAAATTTTTCTTTTCTTTTTTGTTGTCGTGCCTGCAGGCCTTCCCTTGAGAACCGAGAGGGAGACGGACCTGAAGGATAATTAACTCACTATCCCTATTATCCCGCCACCGGCCTTTATTGCCATTTCTGATATCTTGAGGGCTTCTGTTCAACACAGCCTTCATTGTTGCCCCGCACCTTGCAGGCTTCATTTATATAGCCTTCATCGCTATCATTTGTCGATGTAGTAATGTTCAAACCTAACTCCTCCCAAAGTTTTCACCAAATGGAGGACTCTATGGTGCACCAAAGAACTTTATAACTCTACTTTTGTGTGACTAATTACCAGGCTCTGAATAACAAATTTGTATTCCCCTAGCTTGAGGAGGAGTGTTAAAATCCCATCTATCCCTCGACACTTTATCCCACTGCTAGGATGGAAATTTGTGGGAGGCTTACTTGGATCATGCCAATCTCAGCCATCCCTTGACACTTGATCAAACGGCCAGGATGGGAACCCATAGGAGGCTCACCTAGATCACGCTGATCTCCTTCTATATTTGAGTGGTTGATTTAAGAAGGATTATATTAAGGCAATTATGCATGATTCTGTAGTTATTTGTTTCTTTATTAAGACATCTTGTATAGATCTATAAATAGAGATAACTTTGTATGATGAAATTAAGCTTTTCCCTCTACAATTTTCTAAATTTAACACATATTTCCTAACAAAATGAGCTCTTAAGTCACATTGAAGATAAGGACTAAAACAAAAAGACAAGGTGGAGAAAAAACATGATACCTTGTCCATATCCAGAAGCCCCTTTCTTTCCAAACTCTCCAACAAATCTAAACAGTCTTTTAATCTAGATGCAGCATTTCAAGTGATTCAGAGACATACTTTCACAGAAGAAAGCTAGTAAAAAATAAAAAATGTATAAACTTATAAATGGTCTTAGTTTAACTCATCTGAAATTTTTGAGATTGCTCCTTACAAAATAGTGCATTTTAACAAAAAAAATCTGCAAAACCATGCTCATATTCTACCTCGCATCCCTTAATAAGCATTCATAGGTTCTTAAGTAACTTTCCAGACTGCTTGAATCTTTTACAAGTCCTCCATTTGGTTGAAAGAATCTAGACAAGGGTTTGTTATCTTTTTTGCACATGAAACTTCTATCAATATCCTGTATGGATCTACAGCCATCGGTTAGTCCCTTCTCATTACTATTGAAAGTTTTCTTGAAGCACATAAAAAGGGCCTGTCGTTCTGGAAGATCAGAATTTGCTGCAATAAATTATTAAACAAGCAAATCAGATCAAAAGTAAAAGCATTTGTCATAACTTTAGTGAGCAGAGGCAATATAAATTTGCAATGATGGATAACATATCGAATTAGCAAGCATAAGCTGAGCTTAACCTGCAGGTTTTGAAGAACCTTTCTCAAGGACTTCTGCCCTCTTCACAGAAAGCTTTAAATCATAATAATCACTGCCATTCTGAAGAATGAGATTGAGAGGTTTCTCGTACAAGTTATTGAAACACGATAGAGACCTGACCTCAGATTGTTCTTTACCGCAATCATAAGCCTCTTCAGTAGATATATGATCTGCATTGAGGTTTGAATCCAGAAGCTTACTTCCATTAACTATATGTCGCTTTGTCCTATCATAATAATTTTGATTGAATTCTCTCTGCATGCTCTTCACTGGGACCACAAAGAAATTAGATATATGAAAAGCCTTCAAAGAGTGCACACCGCTATCTGAAAGACCTTTTTCTAGCTTTTCTGGCATGATGTCTGACTCATCTAAAACAACACTACCTTTCTCCCTTGATTCTACTTGGCCAATAATCAAAGGACCCACTGAACCACCAACTTTGGTTTGGACCAACATGCTAGACATTGGGAACAAAGTAAACTTTTCATCAACTGGATGCAATTCCTTATTTAATACATCCAGAGATAACCCTGTTATCTGAGGGTTCAAGAGTTCACCATCATCACAAACGAAGGAATGATCCTTTGTTGAAGAAATAACTTTCAGCGCTCTAGAAGAAAAGTTCATTCTATCACAAATAGAAGGCAATTTGCTAAGAGATTCACTTGATAAAGCCGGTTTCCCAATGCATTCCTGCAGTGGAATGATGGTATCTTCAGACATCTCACCGCATACCAAAGCATCAGAGATTTCCTGTTGCGAACACAAAGGATATATAAAGATATGATGATAAGTTAGATCAAAGTGTATAGTTTAGAGAACAAAATTCAAAACCCTAATTACCGAATACCGATTGGGATAAACTTTAAATAAAGCATACATAGTCCATCAAAAGCATGGCTGCATTTGGCAAGCACAGAGAAGTGTACATGTAGGCAGACAACAAACAACACCATGCTCAAGCTATCAAAAGCAATGTAGAGAAAAGCATCAGGACAGAGAGGTAGCCGAACGAGAATAAACAGTTGCTACACTGTCCATAACGAACAGCGATGACTTGATTCTAAAACTAGATAAAGTTAAATGAATAGTGGATAGCGTATGAAGACAAGCAACAAATGTAATCGATAAGATTAAGAAAATTCAGATGCACCATTAACAGGAGCCAAAATGGTGAGGAATAGCTACGTCGTATTAACAGTAACATCCACAGGACAAAAAAGGGAGTCAATCATTTATGATTGATATGGATTTCACAAAGGAAAAAAAGTTATAAAAGCAATTAATTTTGACATAAAAGCTTCCTCATTTAACTTTGGGCACAGTTATTACAACTTTTGTTTTTTTTTTTCATCCGACTTTCGGAAGACTGAAGTAAGAAAACTGACCATTATATAGGAATTAAACTATAACATACAAATATACAATACAGTAATTGAGTAAATTACTCAACCATATTTGCCCTGATAAAGCAAAAAATAATTTTGTCAATATTTATGGTTATGCTAATAATTAAACATATTTCTACCCTAACTGACAGGCATATGTGAAATAAAAGCCTAATTAAATGCAAGTATATCACATTAGACATGTACACTTGAAATAATCCTGACCTAGCAAATTTATCTTCTCATGTCGTTTTCGGTACTAAAAGACATCAATTAGCATAAATTACAAGTGATGTAATTAGTAAACCACAAATTATAAAAACTCACCTGATTGTCAATTTCAATGTCACAGTCTTTTACTTTATTATGATTTAGGTTGACCAAGTTGTAGCCATTTATAATGAGAAGAACATAATCGAAAAGCAATCTCTCATTTAAACATAAGCAATGAAGAATAAAATGATGATTTCAATGATTCCAACCCTTCAAACTTCCCTCACCCCTCCTCACTTGCTTCGAAGTATATATCATTCCACCTGAGCTCCAAGTTGAAAATGGGCATAAGGATTCAAAGGTAGAAAAAGTTGGTGTCAATATAGCCCCTATTTGGTTGGGTTGAAAATTTACCTTGATCAAATCAATTTTTAGCTCAAATCAAAAGCACAAATCGAGCTAAATGAGTTCAGCTAAAAGGCAAATTTTTGTCTTAGTTCAATCTTATATATATATAAAATGATTTTGAGATGGTTATATTCAAAGTTGAGCTGGGTTGAATTTGAGTTGATTCAAGCTGAGCTAACTAAAAAATGAATCAGTTCAAGCCAGATGCCAATTTAAGCCAACTATATGTCTTCTAGCCAATTTTGAGCCAGGCTATATATATTTAGCCAATTTCAATCCAGGGGTGGATCAACTAAAAATTTGATCATTCTCGCCGCTAATCTTTGGAATGGTTAAGAACTTTTTTCACAAGTTTGGACATTATATAATAGATCAACTTCACATCTATTACTAGAATGGGTAAGAGTGCAATGAATGCAATTATACCAATTTACCTCAAATACAAGCCTGTATCAACAATTCCACGAGCAAGTCAGAAAATGGTGACAACAGCACTATTATCATTGAAGCATGAAATAATTTAGGACCAAATAAAGACTTATAACTTAAACTGACACATCCTATACTTACTACAAAACACAGCTGATCTTTAGTTCCATTTTTAATTTTTAGCCATTCCATGGAGAAAATTTGAAATCACCAATAAGGCAGTTCAATTGAATGTGGATCATATAACAATGTTCATATGGCAATGTGTGACTTGCTTCAACTATGAACCCTAAACATATAGGTAATAGGCAGCCACTTACATATCAAAGCTCTAGAAACATCCATACATAACATATGACTAAACTCAATACGCTCGAGTGCCTTTGTAATTTTCTAGTTTACAATATATTTCTTCATCATGTCATCAACCCTCACTTTCAGATTAAAAAAAACTTTCAACTTCAAACAAACATTGTAGCAATAGAAACAACAATAAGCCCACTCTACAACATGGATAGGAGTGAACTCATCAAAGAGCATGCATTGGAATTGCTGCTCAAATTTGCTCAATTATGAGAGCAATCACTAAGATCATGACAACTGCAAATTAAATCAATCACACATACTCAGCCAAACTTTGGCTCTCATAACAACTTAAATGAGAGAGTGGATCACTAAAAGCTAAGAAGGTCCCAATATACCAGTGGATAAAAAAATTTGCACCAGTCGTCCAAACTTGATAACATCTTGGACTTTAACACCACTTGTCAAGACTCAAGAGCATGGACCACTAAGCCATAATTCGGATCTGCTGCACACGTGGCGAGACACCTATCTAACCAAAAACCTAAAGCCAATGTGTTAGAGTAAAGAACTAGTCCATCAACATTCAAAACCTTGCTCTATTACAATAAGTGGAACTAAACTCGATCACTTGCCTTCACAAACTGTGATACCTTAAATTATTTCGTATACCCTTGAAGCATTTGTGATCAAGTATTTTTTTTTTTTTTTCTTCTCATGCTTCTCCAATAACTATAGACATCAATTATATTATATCAAGGACACCGCAATTAGGAAACCACAAAATTAACAATACTGACCTGACTTCCAATGTCCTTGTCACTGCTTCCTCCTCCATTACGATTAAGGTGGATCAATTCAATCACTGCGAAGGCAGCAACTGTCGCGGCTATCACAATAACGGAACTCTGCAGGACGCAATCCTGGAATGTGACGCAGCGGGGAGAAAGGGTTTGAAACCCTAGCTTCCCGCGGACGGCTCGGTATCGGAGGCCCGAGGTTCTGAGCTGAATGCCGCATCCAAGGAATTCTCGACGGAAAAGACTATGTAGTTGGAAGCTGGGAGAGGCGGCGAAGGGTATAAGGCCATGGGGTTTGGCGGATAAGATCAAATCCATGGAAATAGGGGAAGGAGAAGGGGAACGGAGTGGATGAGTGGGTTGTAAAGCTCTAGGCTGGGAAGTGAGGAGAAAAAAGGATAAACCATCCAGCTTGATGGTTCTGGGACCACCTAGTGGCCGTTTCGCTTACATGGGCAGGAGCGGCAGGATGGAAAATATGAGCCATAAAGATTTGGCTAAATCTCATGGGCTTGGCTAATGTTTTGTTTGAGACAGTTTTTTAAAATTATTTTTTAAGTACAAAAATTATAAGAAAGTCTGAAGAAACCGAGAACACAGTTCTCAGCTTTCTTGAAACAAGAATAAAGAAGATAAGAGCAAGTGGACAAGACAACTCAGAGAAAGAAAGAATTATATTATTTCCTGTTAACCCTTTTCGTTACAGCCTAGAGCTCTATATATAGAGTTTAATAAACTAGATAGTACAACAAGTTACCAATCATAAAATGCCAAGTGGAAAATAAGTACAATAGTTTTATTTGGAATTCTGTTCTAATATCCCCCTGCAAAATGATGGTTCTTGAACAACCGTCATTTTGGAACGCAGTTGATGAAACCTTTTTGTAGATAAAGGTTTAGTAAGAATATCTGCTACTTGGTCAATAGTGCTGATAGGGAGTAGACGTATGTTATTGTTGATAATTTGATCTCGAACAAACTTTTGATCAATTTCAATATGCTTTGTGCGAGCATGAAAAACCGGATTGTTCGCCAAAGCAATCGCGGATGTATTGTCACAATGCATATCTGTAGGCTGATCAGGAGAAATTCCAAATTCAGCCAGAATACGTCTGAGCCATATGACATCAGCAGTCAATGCGGCAAGCGATCGGTATTCGGATTCAGTGGATGATCTTGCAACTGTAGACTGCTTCTTGACCGTCCAGCTAATGAGATTCTGACCCAAGAAAGAGCAGTATCCAGAAATTGATTTCCGTGTATGTGGATCTCCTGCCCAATCGGCATCTGAATAGGAATGAAGTAGAAGATTAGATTTGATAATAGGAATACCAAATTCTAACGTACCTTTTATATATCGTAAAGTTCTTTGCAGCATATAAAAATGAGAGGGCATAGGATTATGCATGTTTTGAGATAGTTGATTTATGCTAAATGCAAGATCCGGCCTCGTAAGAGTTAGATACTGTAATGACCCAATAATCCTCCTGTATAAAATCGGATCTGAGAACTCAGGATCCATTGGAATGTTGTCCGGAAGTCGAGTACAATTTGGATTTGATAACGGCTTGCAATCAGACATTTGAGCCTGTTGAAGAATACTCAAAGCATATGGTGTTTGAGATAAAAAGAAGCAGTTAGGCATGCGTTTAATTTGAATACCCAAAAACTCATTAACTTCACCCAGCTTTTTCATATCAAACTTTTTACTGAGTTTATGAATCATGGCTGAAATAGTATTATTATCATTACCCGTAATAAGAATGTCATCTACATATATAAGCAAGAAAAGTAAAATACCGTTTGAATTATAAAGAAAAAGTGAGGGATCAGCCTTACTGTGAGCGAATCCAAGAGAAAGAAGATGTTCAGTGAGTGTGTTGTACCATTGACGCGGAGCTTGCTTAAGCCCATAGATCGCCTTGTGAAGCAGACAGACGTAATCCGGGTGAGAAGCATCCTCAAATCCTTTAGGTTGTGTCATAAATACCTTTTCCGGAAGAATGCCATGCAAGAATGCATTGGCAACATCTAGTTGCTGAACAGACCACTGATGATGAATAGCGACGGTAAGAAGAATGCGTATAGTAGGTAGCTTGGCGACAGGACTAAAGGTCTCTGTATAATCAAGACCAAATTCTTGATTATTACCAAGAGCAACAAGACGAGCTTTGTGTTTGGCGATGGAGCCATCCGCATGATATTTTAACCGATAAGTCCATTTGCAACCTATAACAGGATTGCTAGAAGGTCTTGGAATAAGACTCCAAGTTCCTTGACGTTGTAGAGCAAAAAATTCTGCCGCCATTGCGCTTCGCCATTCTGGATACTTAATTGCTTCAGTGTAGCAGGTTGGCGTGAAGGACAGATTTGAGACAGTAGTGTGATGAGTAAGATTCATACGTTGAATAGGTTTGAGGGAGCCGGTTCGCATGCGAGTGACCATAAGATGATGAACAGGTGCGGGAATAGTGATAGAGTCATTAAATACTGGACAGGATGAGGTAGGCAAAGGTGAAGAATTCTGAGTAACAGGTATAGAACTTACGTTAGGTAGAGTTTGATTTTTATTGCTGGACTGATGAGATGATGGTATGAGCACAGAGTTAGGGAGAAGAAGAGCAGGCGGAATATCGGGATTGACAGAGATGGGTGGTGAGCAAGATTGTTTAGAGAAGGGAAATGAATCTTCAATAAAAGTTGTGTGGCGGGATATAATGATGCGTTTGGTTTGTGAATCAAGGCATTTATATCCTTTGTGCTGATCAGAATACCCCAAGAAGATAGAGGATGTTGCTTTGGGTTGAAACTTATGCCGTTTGTGCGAAGGTAGGAGAGGGAAGCATTCACATCCAAAAACGCGAAGATTACTATAATCGGGTTTGGTGTGATAAATGAGTTCAAAAGGAGTGCAATTATGTATGGTTTTTGAGGGCATTCGATTGATTAAGTACGCAGCAGTAGCCACGGCTTCCGGCCAGTAGATATAAGGAACAGAGGCGGTGGATAGAAGCGTCCTCGTGGTTTCAATTAGATGCCTATGTTTGCGCTCCGCGGCTCCGTTTTGCTCTGGAGTATAAGGACAAGATATTTGATGATTAATACCATGTGTAACAAGAAATTGGCGTAGTTTGTCATTAATAAATTCAGTGCCGCCATCAGATCGAAGCATTCGTATAGATTGAGAGGTAAATTTTTCTATGCAGGTTTTAAAAGAAATAAAAATATTAGTAACTTCATCTTTAGTACGCATAGGAAAAATCCAAACAAAATGCGAGAAATCGTCAAGAAACAAAACGTAGTATCTGAATCCGTGAACTGATACAACCGGAGCGGGTCCCCATACATCAGTGTGAATTAGTTCAAGAATTCTTTTACTACGATGTATAGATTTGGGAAAAACTAGTTTATGACACTTAGCAGCATTACAGATAGAGCAAGAAAACAATTTTCTATTTATTTGAAGATGAGGATTGGAAGCAGAAATTGAAGCAGTAGTTCTTGAGTTGGGATGACCAAGACGTTGATGCCAAATTGACGTCAAGCCAGCTGCAGCAGAAAGAGCGTGAGTCGTCGTCCTCTTAGTTGTTGCAGGAATGGCATACAGGCCATTTTTACACGGTCCTTGCAACAGAACTTGATGAGTCGTCGAATCCTTGATGGTAAAACCAAATTTATCAAAAATTATTGAAATCCTGTTATCTTTAATTAACTGAGATATAGAAATAAGATTGAATTGAAATGAAGGAGAATGAAAAATCTGTGATAAAACCAACTTACGAGATGGGGTCGGTAACAATCCATCACCAGAGTGACTGATGTTAACCGATCGCCCATCACCGACAGTGACTGATTCATGGCCATGGTAGGGATTTGCTATGTTCAAGTTTTCCAGAGAATTTGACAGATGAGAAGATGCGCCGGAGTCCAAGAACCAGCTGGACGAGGCATTGTCGTTCGTGGTAAGAAGAGCTTTCTTGGACTGGGATGATGTCGAAGGAATGTACTGAGTGTTTAGTCGATGCCAGCAATTAGGAGCAGAGTGTCCCCGTTTTAAGCATATCTGGCAGGAAACCTGAGTATTTTCGTTGGGACGAGGAGGATGTTCATTACCAGACGATTGCTGTCGTCCGCGCGACCTGCGACCACGGCCACCTCGATAGGTGTAGAACGCCATTTTGGATTCTTGAAGAGCAGTTTCTTTTGCAACATCGGACGAGACATGTATTTCCTCACTGATCAACAGTGAGTAAAGACTGTCCAAGCTTACCGGATGGAGCATTGTGCGGATCGAGGTTTTAAACGATTGATAGGAATTGGGAAGACCCTGCAGGATGTATAGAACAACATCTTCATCGTCGACGGTAGATCCGGCAGCGGTGATTTGATCCACCAGAGATTTAATCTCCGATAGATACTGTGTCATCGTCTGATTCTTGAGAGAAATATGATGCAGGGTGTTCTTTAACTGAATGACCTTGGAGCGATTGGTAGCTTGAAATCTATGTTCAAGAACGCTCCAGATTTCAGCTGTAGTTGCCAGATTACTGACATGAGGAAGCACCGAAGGCGAGATTGTAGAACATAGCGCTGCAGCCAAATTTTGATCAATTAAGATCCATTTGGAACCGGCATTGTTGTTGGCATTGGATCCATCAGCAGGATGGATAACTGGATCGGGAGGAGGGATCGTGGAATCAAGAAACTTATCAAAGCCATTTGCCTTGAAGATCTTGAGTATCTGAGACTTCCAGAGCGGATAGTTATCAGATACGAGTTGTGTGGGAACGATGTGTTTGAGATTTGAGACCACAAACTTGAGGGAGGATGGTATGAAATGATCCTCCAACTGCATAGTTGTCGATCTATCGTCCGTTTGAGATGTAAACGAGTTTGCCATGACCACCTCTTCAGGCGACCAGATTCGCCGGCTCTGATACCATGAAGAAACCGAGAACACAGTTCTCAGCTTTCTTGAAACAAGAATAAAGAAGATAAGAGCAAGTGGACAAGACAACTCAGAGAAAGAAAGAATTATATTATTTCCTGTTGACCCCTTTTCGTTACAGCCTAGAGCTCTATATATAGAGTTTAATAAACTAGATAGTACAACAAGTTACCAATCATAAAATGCCAAGTGGAAAATAAGTACAATAGTTTTATTTGGAATTCTGTTCTAATATTCATAATTATAAAGATATTAAGAAAATCCAATATGCATAAATAGTTAACAATATATTATATAATAATGTTAGGATTGCTATATAATAATATTATGAGAAGTCTAGAAGTATATGAATCATTTGATAAAAAAAAATTATATTGATTCAATATAAAAGTTGATA